TTTGAGCAGACAGGGGAAGTACATACTCGTTGTGTGACGCTCAGATTTTGATGAAACTCGGCGAAAGTTTAGATTACTGTTTTGCAAGATATAGGTGACCTTCCTAGCTTGCGCCTTGCAGAAACGACCGAGATTTTTATGCCAAAAGAGTTGGAAAAAATTTGCATTTTTTTAACCAATTTTGACATGGAAAGTAGCATAGCTATTTCTACTGTAGAGGGTAATGTTTCCACAAAAAAAATAATTTTTTTTTGTGCCAAACTAGCGAAATTATGGCTAAAAAGTGTTTCCTTTTTCTCTGACCGCTCTCCGCATTTCTCGTACTCTCTCTCTCAAGCAAAAATCGTTCAATAAAAGGATTAATTTTATTGAACTTTGTAACCGTCGTATCCCCTAGAACCCCTTGATTCTTACTTTGTAGCCTAACATACATAGATAAGAATGGTATCAAAAATTGCTATCGCTTCGAAAAGACCGGCGTTATTCCAATTTCCTTTTTTTTGCAATGTAAAAAATTTCTCTTTAGCTTCCAAACACACTGAATAAATGTTGAAAAGACTTGATGAAGCAGTTTCTCCCCTTGATTTGGACAAATAATTCTGGGGGATTAAAATAAGCCGGCTTTCGCAAGGGGCTTTTCGCCGCCGGCCCAACAAAATTTGCAGGTTTTTACTTTACTCAAACGCCCCAAATTTGTGTTCGTCACTTGTTATGTATGTCTGGTTGGGTATTTGTAGGCCATCTTTCGGGGAAATACTATGCCCTGAAGTTGGCTGAATTCCGGGGGTTTATTCTTGTTCGTATTCTTATAGTATATATTATGGAATGGGAGCTTAATTGGGAGGGCATTTATGGACAGCCAAACTTGTGTCTTAATTTTATCCTTCCTAGACGGAAAACAGAATCTTTTCCGCAACGGAATTGGACTTTAAAAATAACAAGCTTTTCGGTTGGGATTACTGGAGCTTTTACTGTAATTTTGAGGGACCATTTGAGAGATAATTGGGGTCCTCGGCTCACGTAACTGGCCTGGATTAACAAAGGAATTACCAGATGTGCGACGCTCAGATTTTCTTTAAATTTTGTGCACACTTCAAAAATAGGGCAATTATCAATTCCTGAAAGTTTTAGCTTGCGCTTTCCTGCGGCCGCCGAGATATTCCACGATCTTTTCGGCCGAGAGAGTACGCAAAACGCCGAGAGCGGTCACAGAAAAAACACATTTTTTGGCCATATCTTTGCCAACTTCATACGGAAAATTTTTTTGTGGAAACATCACCCTCTACAGTAGAATAGGTATGAAAATTGTAGTGTTAAAATTCGAAAAAATGACGGATTTTTGCCAACTTTCGACCTAAAACCTCGGGCGTCTCTACAAAGCGCAAGCTAAGAGTCTCGCATATGCCTTAGGAAAAGTTATTCAAAATTTGTGCCAAGTTTCATCAAAATCTGAGCATCGCTCTTGGGGTTCCTCTGTGAGCCGAGAGTGATCAATCAAAGATTTATCATTCAAAAAAAGTCTATTGATCTTTTGGTCGGCTGAAAACCCAGCAATGTTGGGAAGTGTGAGCTGGTTACCTCGGACATGTCTTGGAAAATAATTTTTAAATTTGAATCGACTTTCAAAGACGGCCTCTGGCGTCAAAAACACTAACCGCGTCAAATACTCTCATTAATTTTTGCTTTTGAAGCCTCATTCTGAGGAAGCGAAAGACTTCATAACTTTCGCCATTTCTATCAATTCATTAAGACTATAAAAATTTCGATGGTCTTCAATATCAACTTCCGTCCCTACAAAAATTGTTTTTTCCCTATAAATCTCCATTTTCCTCTCTTTAAAAGTTCAAAAAATAAAAAAACAATCAGAATTTCCTCATTCTTCCCATGAATATAAGTAATTTGTTTTTTTCAATCTATTATACTTCACATCTGTAAGTATAATCCCTACAATGAAGAAGAGGGCAATTAGTTCAGATTGAATAAAAATTTGATGTTTGAATCTCCGTGACTGTTTGGATTCTTGATTCATCTTTATAATAACATTGGAATATTTTTGATCATCGGTCTGCTCTCCTACGTGCAGAGTGACAAAATTTCGACATGAAAATGTGGTTGAAATTATCTTTATAAATTTTTAGTTCAGTTTTTATAGCGGAAAATAAGAAACTTCACTTAAGATGTACAAAGGTTTAAGTACAATAGAAGCAGTGGTCTTTGTAGCATACTAAGTCGATGGTTTTACATCTTTTTGGGATTCTTTGACAACATTTTTCAGCATTATCTTTATATGCATCATTGTTACTGGCTTTGTAAATAACGATTGCTTTTTGTATTCATTATGAATTTGCTTTGCATTAATTATGCCCTTACTTTTGTTTGTCAGAGTCTGCGAAGAGAACAGACTACATTTTGCTTATTTTGCTTTCGGTAAAGTCCAGCTGAGGCTTGTAACGAATAAATCTTTGGTCAGCGTTCGAGAGGGAGCGTGCAGCATGTCTAGGGCTAAAATTTATGCTGTAATGTTGAGTATCAAGGGCCATAGCATTAATAAACTTTTTTCTACGCCTCCCTTTGTCAATTTCCATTGTCTCTAGCATGTAAAAATAGAGTTGAATCTCTCGAAAGCCACTGAGATAATACCAAAATGTTTGAAACTTCCGTCCAAGATTGTACGCGGCCGAAATATTCAAGAAAACAGAAATTTAATGCAAAATACGGCGTTAAAAACACTATGCTTTTGGATTATCAGCACCACAAACTGCTGACTACATCCCCCTGCACACCACATCCCTTTACCGACCTTTAATTGAAACTCCCCGACGGTCATTTGTTTCAAAACTTCCGTAATCGATCCTCCCTCCTCCCTCTTGCAAGATTTACCTGCGATTTCGACAAATGGGTTAATCCGACCGCATTGAATGATGTTATGCGTGCGTCAACATCAGATTTGGGTCCATCCGACGGACGGAGCGCCGGTTGTCCGGGCAACCGCACAGATAACATGATATAATGATGATGGGAGTGAGGGTGTTGTTCCTATGCGTAAAAAAACGGCCTCAGACGATTTGGCATTAGTGTGAAGACGGGACCTTTGGAGGGGGTGGTCGGAGTTGGGAGCGTTTGGATTGGACTCAAACTTGTTGACCTTTTCAGCATGATTGATCGGTGAGTGATTGAAAGTGGGGTCCGAAAAGTTTGCTAATGACATTAGGGTTATTATTTTGTTTTGTTCGTCATAATTTTAACTACATTGTAAAAATCTTAAAGGTCTTTGCTTCGAGTTTTTAATTGTCGTATAAAATGTCTCCACTTGAGACAAAAGAGGAGCCAAATGACTCGTAGTTGTTTACCTCGAAATTTGAGAGACTTCTGGCCATTTGACTACTTCCTTTTTCGTAATAGCAAAGAAAATACGAGATTTTTGGAGAACAGAGATCTCTGGACACACTTGCTCGTATAAAGTGTCCAAAATGAAACCTTGTGTCGGGTCCTCCATTTCGTAGGAGAGTTTCTAGTGTGATAACTTACTTTAAGGTTATCTTGGAGTGTCGAATTTTTCTGAGTAGTCAAAATTGACAATTTTAGGACCACACTATAGAATTACATTGTTTTACAAAATCCCCTAAAACCACCCTCTCTATCTACGTGATGTTCGGTTTTCTTACGTCTAATTACTGAGTAGACCAAGTTTTTAGCCCAAACGCACTTTTTTCGCCGGGTAAACAGTAGTGTAAAATTATCCGGGAATAGTACTGTTAATCTTCTTTTCTTCGGATTTCAAAGCCTTGAGAAACGAATTGGGATCAAATTTTATTTGCAATTGGGGGGAAATAACTGGCCGGAGGGAGAGAGAATTGGTCGTTCAAAATATTGGTTAGAAGTTTCTTGGAATTTCGTTCTTAAAATAATTTTTTTCATTTTGAAAAAAGTCACGTTTTATAGGAAATTTGGAAGTTTTGCCTCTTTTATGTAATTTTTTTGCAGTAAAATCTCATCATTAAACTTTTTACTAGTACAATTTCTGACATTATCGACGTTTGAAACAGAATGCCAATCTCAGCAGGAAATTAAAAGCACGTATATTTTGAATCTATGGTCTCTAGAGAGTATTTTACTATCTTTCTAACTACATTTTTAACCCCTGAAACAGAATGCCAAATTTGGCGGGAACCCGAAAATTCAAAATTTTCCTCAAGTTTCTCACGTTTTCCGAACGGCCTATGCCCCAGTCGGTTATTTCTCTCCAAATACTCTTCAATTCACCCTGCAATTGAGCTCATTATAATGAAATTTGGGCCGAAATGTCAGTTGGCTCGAGCCCTCCTTCTTCCGGGCTTTTCGGAACGGTGGGAGTGTATCTTCGTCGTGTTTGGATCGTGTTTGTTATATCAAAACGAAAAAACAAGCAGGAGGGGAAAAAGAGGGCCGCCTCGGGGCATTTGCCAACCGATTTTTTCGCAAACTTTTTTGATATTTGATAAGGCTCAAATGATCTTTTTTGCATGGCGTGGTAGAGGGTAATTGGACGTGAAATTTGAATGTTTGAGAGCCTCAGGGCATTACGTATTTGGCTGAAAAGTCGGTTTGCAATTTTGATGGTGATGCAATGAATTTTGGAGGGAATAATCAAAAACTTTCGTCAACTTTCGCAAATTTGCACTACGGATGAAAAAATTTGAAAACTGATGAAAGCTTTTTCTATTTTCGATAAAATGTGAAATTATTTATATATGGTGTTACTGGCATAATGATAAACAAGATTGTGTCTCCGTATTTTACTATAATCTCCCATATCTGACATGCTTTCGATACAATTGTCATCATTTCCTTGTTTTTCGACAAAAAAAATTATTTCAAAGACTCACGTAGTCTAGAATGATATTGTTTGAAGTCACATGCCATGTGCGTCAGATTTGACTCATTAACAAGTGTCTTTCTGGTCCTTTCCAACCCGGAAAACAAGTAACTTGCACTCTAATCCAAGGATTTTTCCTCTCCGAATGTCTTGGGTAATTTTTCTTAGAACAGTTTCTTTGGAGTACAAAGATTATCGTCAAGCTCTTAACTGTAGTAACCAGTTCTTAAAACCCCTAGTACAGTTGGATTTTAAGAGCCGTAAGAGGAAGTTTAAGAGGGTTACAAAAAAGGGATAAAATTTTGAAACCATTAAAAGGAGATTTGGCCGCACCCAAAACAAGATACAAGATAAGGGCCTCGTAATCCGATCCATTGTTATCCTACATTAGTTGTATTAGAGGAAAAATTTTTACTTTCAAAGAACAGCGAGTGCCCAGACGATCATTTGTTTTATGGGTTCCATTATGCATGTCGGTTTTGAATGGAACGTGATTGTTCCTTGATCTTCGAGAAGTTTGATTGGTGAGGTTGTTACCTTTTATACGGAAGATTTGTCTTCTGCTTCTGCCTGTCTACAAGCTTGTTGTTGGAAATTTCAATCTCTGAAAAAAGAAATTATCTGACGTGAAATGCTTTTTTCATTTGTAATAGGTCAAGTATTATATCTTTACACCAAAGTAAGACGCTTATATTTCACTTTTATTCAACTTGTACAAATATATGTGACGCCTACAAATTTCCCAAAACTTTAGTCTACGATTGACTCTTGGCACCTCTGAGATTGTTCGTTACAGAAATATCTACAAGGTTATTCTAAAAAAATTGACATTTTCTTTATTCGATTTCTCTTGGCTTTGAACGTTTGTCGGAAAAAGGTACCCATGGCACGAAACTACTACTTTATGTGTACACATTGAAAGCAAAAATTGTTCACTAGCTGCAAAAGTTGCCCACGTATGGTTGCTTGAAGTTGCTGGGTCAGCTGTGTTTTGGAAAAGTCTTTTATTATTTCAATTTTTGCCAGAATCAACCACTTTCGCTCGAAATGTTTTGACGGAACTTTCACTACAATACTTTTTACTTTATCATGGATATTCACATCCATGTGCAATTGACACTTCCCTCTCTTCGCTCGAACCTGTGGATTATTTTGTTGATATTTTTCAATTTTTCTGATGATAACAAATTATGCATTTACTATTATATTTATTTATGTACTCAACTAATGTTTTCGTACCAAGAGTTCAAGCTAATCTTGGACTAAGGTCTATTTCCATCGGACTGACGTTATCTAGGGAGCAATAACCGTTTTGGCCACAAATCCCTCCTCCCTCTGTCCTCCCTCCCCGCCCCAGCTTCCGGATTTGCCCTGCGGGCATGTTTAAACATTTTTGTCCACCCGCAAATCCCCTCTTTTGTAATATCCTATCTAATTTCTTTGTTCCATATCCGATTTCAGCATTTTTATTGAACATTTTTTTCGAACTTTCAATTTCCCGCCATTTTTGGCATTCTGTTCTTGCGCCTCGAAATTTGCCGGAAGCCGGTCGAAATACGATATGCATGTTGTTTACACCGTGATTTTATTTTCGCACCGAGACTGCAAAATCCACAAGATTTTCAGGCGAATAATCCAGGAAATGAAGGGATTATCGTTCGGGTGATCCGTTTTTTGTTTTGTCTGCTGGAAGATATCTGTCCTCGCGGAACGGCCAATTTTGGGACTAAAGTGTGACTAGCAGCACGGTAAGTCATTATTTATTGATATTATTTTACTTCAAAAAATTTAAATCCAAGTAAAAACCCAAAATTTTAGCCCTACCATGGGTTGTGGTCAGAGCGCGGCCCAAAAGTCGGGCCGCTCGCTGGACATTGGGCCAAAGAAGAAGCCGGTCAACTCGCATCGTGTGGCGTCCAAGCCCAACTCTCCGGCCGATTCGCAGATGGGTAAGTCCTCGTCGTTGTCGACCTTCGCTTCGGCCGACGACGGGAATGGCTCGGTGTTGGGCCGGGCCTCGGCCCGTTCGCAGGGCCTTCGCTTGGACTCGCTAACCGTCGACAACGACGCTAACAAAGCTAATGGGAGTGCGGAGAAGAATGATACGGGTTCCACTAACTCTGCGCGCTCGTCGGTCTCGATCCGGACCTTGCTTTGCGAGGACCACAGCGATATTGAGGACCAAGTGGAGAGGGAGAAGCCGAAAGCTCAGCGAAGTCGGTCGGTATCGCCTTCGAAGCTCAGTCGATTTGATATGATCCGAAGAAAGAAGCCCCCCACTCCACCGTCGGCTCGATTTTCGTCCACGTTGATGATGAATCGAAGCCAGAAACGGCCGAAAAGCCCACAAATGTGTAAGGAGCGCACTGTGCGACACTCGGTCAACTACAGCACACTGGATTTTGGGCCTTGGTTCATGGATTTCCTGGTGTTTTCCGTCGACGCTCTCGTTTTGTTGATGAATGTTATCGATGATTTTTATTTGATTCTTAGTTCCGCATTTTTTCGGGAGTGGGATTTTTTGAGTTTTCACACAACTTTTTGCACTAGTCTATTAAAATTTCGTATTTACAGCAATCAAATCGGCGATTTTGATCCAAAAATGGTATCGACGATGTTTGGCGCGACTTGAAGCTCGTCGTCGAGCGACTTGGAATATCTTCACGGCCTTGGAATATGCTGGAGAGCAAGACCAATTAAAGGTAAATTTTTTTGGATCTTTCTTGATTTTTGATGAGTAAGACGAGATAGAATACTATTGTAAATCAAGTTGTTCTCAACTCTTCGATGTTAGTACAGTGGGGGCCCTGATCCAATGGCAAAAAACGTACTATTTTGCATCCGGGAAGTATCAAAAATGTGGAAAAATGCTTCCCTCTCCAAGTGAAAAAACACCGAATTCAAAAGCCGCTCTTTTTGTGTGGGAGAGGGCGCGCCCTTCAAAACGAAGTTTTTTTCACTTGGAGAGGGAAGCATTTTGCCACATTTTTGGATCTTCCCGGATGCAAAATAGTACGTTTTTTGCTACTGGATCATGCCCGTCACTGTATAGCGGTGAGTTTGGGAAATCTCTCAAGCTCTATCCCAACCAACCAAAATTAAATTTTTAGTGCTTGAAAACAAAAAGAAAAAAAGTCCAACACGTATTTTACCCTACGATTTTCAGCTCTACAATTTCTTCAGCGACATTATCACAGCGATGGTAACCAAGGACGGTGAAGAAATTGGAGCCAGCCGGCTACATCAAGGTTTGTATTATAACCTTGTTTTCCGTTGGCTGTGCCCTTGTTTACACTACTTTTTTTAAATTTTGCAAAGTTTTTGCCATAAATTTGCACATCAAAAAAAATACGCAAATTTTTTTTTATAAAATTTGCATATTGATGTACATAATTTTGGTTACTGTGCCTTTATTTTGACTTGATGTTCTCCCCATTTACTAATTACGCTAAGAATTCTCCGACTATAACTTTCTGGCTTGGGTGAAGGTGCAAAACGGACCGGAGTAGCATGATTAGTAAGCGTATTTTAGCCCTGGCTCAATATTCTTCACCTCCAGATGAAGAAGAGAAGGATCGCAAGCTGTGGGAAGCCACGAATCCCGAAAACTTCAAAGTGGATCGTTCCTACAAAGGCCCGTTCTTGTCGCTGCCCCTGAAAAAGGCTCATGTGGTGATGTTGATCGAGCATTTCAAAAGTAACAAGGTAAGAGAGGCCTTGAAATGGGCATTAAGCGTACAGTGGGGGACCTTATCCAGTGGCAAAAAATGTACCATTTTGCATCCGGTAAGTATCAAAAATGTGGCAAAATGCCTCCCTCTCCAACTAAAAAGCGAGTCATTTCCTTCACAAAAAGAGCAGGCGCGCTTTTGAAGTCGGAGATTTTTTTTCTTGAAGAGGGAAGCATTTTGCCACATTTTTGATACTTCCCGGATGCAAAATGGCACGTTTTTTGCCACTGGATCAGGTCCCCCACTGTAACAGGGACTATTTTTAATTAACACACCGTTTCATTAGATATCGTATTTCGAAACTCCATCTAATAACATCTTTTTTTCAGATCCTCCATCCCAGATTTCTTTTGCTGATTCTGCATGAGGCCCGGAAATTACTGCGAACAATGTCTACTGTAACATACGTCTCTACCTCTCTTTCCAATCAGGTCACAATCTGCGGAGATCTGCATGGGAAATTCGATGATCTCTGCATTATATTGTACAAGGTAAAGGAGCTGTTAGCAACCCCATATTTTACATCGATTCCCATAAATTTTATGCCTAACATTTTTTCTGAAGTAGTTTACATCAAAAACAGCAATTCTCCGATTTTCATGTTTTCGTGGCGGGAACCAAAAATTGTTCCTTTTTTGTAAAATTTCGAATTTTCAGAATGGTTTCCCTTCCGCGGACAATCCCTACGTCTTCAACGGCGACTTTGTGGATCGAGGAGGGCAATCCATCGAAGTTTTGGTAGTTTTGTTAGCCTTAGTCCTACTAAATCCTTCGGCCGTCATTTTGAACCGAGGAAACCATGAAGATCACATTATGAATCTCCGATACGGGTTTACCAAGGAGCTCATGACCAAATACAAGGTAAGTACGCGCCATTTCAGACCGACATCATTGGTTTGAAAAGTCAGAATTAAGATTTTTCAAAATTATAGGTCATATTTTATTGAATATTTCTGCAGAACGCAATCTAACATTTCCGGCAACGTTCCATAATTGGTTGAAATATATTTTCAGGACTCTGCCTCAGCGATAGTCCGTCTACTCGAGGATGTGTACAGTTGGATGCCGATTTGTACCGTCATCGACAACCAGATCTTTGTTGCTCATGGTGGAATCAGCGACAAGACGGATCTAGAGTCCCTAAAGGCTGTAAATAGAAGCAGGGTAAGGGCTGATTTCCTATCCGAACTTTTTTCGGCAATTTCGACTTAAAAAATTCAAAACTCAAGTTTTCGCGTCGGCACCCAAATTGAAAAAATACGCGCGGCATTCCGTATTTTAAAATTTCAGTACCTCTCCGTACTCCGCCCACCAATCACAGAGTCAAAAGAAACGGGTAAGAAGACAGTAAATGTGGACGAATGGCGGCAAATGCTGGACGTTTTATGGTCCGATCCAAAACAACAAAATGGATGTAGCCCAAATGTGTTCCGAGGCGGTGGTACCTACTTTGGGCCAGACATTACTAAGAAATTCCTGGAGAAGTGAGTTATGTTACTATATGCTACTATCAGACATATAAAAAGTAAAAACTCCAGTTTTGTAATTTACCAAAAACTTTCGGCTGTAAGCAAGATTTGCACTATCGACGAAAGTTTTTGGATAAATCTTCCTACGCGTCTACAGCAATATTCCTGACCTTCCAACTTTCAGAAACGGGTTCAAAATGATTGTTCGCTCGCATGAATGTAAATACGAGGGCTACGAGTTCACACATTCCGGTCAGTGTCTAACAATTTTCTCGGCTTCCAACTATTACGAGTCCGGCTCGAATCGCGGTGCTTACGTCAAATTCATCGGCGAAGAGAAGACCCCGCATTTCGTGCAATACATGGCGAGCAAGGTGCATAAGAAAACGACAGTCCGACAACGACTCAGCATTGTGGAACAGAGTGCAATTCGCGATTTGAGGGAAAAATTGGGGGCTTTCAATTCGGAGCTGCAACGGGAGTTCAACAAAATCGATAATGCTGGAATTGGTAAGTCATATACTGATCTGATGACTAATTACATCCAAAAATAAGCCTTATTATCCTATATCTTAACCCGTAGGCCACTAAAATCTGGTCTAAAAAATTATTCAATCTATTTTTAGGTACGATATCGGTCAACTCCTGGTGTGATATTGTCGAGCGAGTTACTGGCCTAAATGTCCCATGGCACGCTCTGGCACGGCGATTAGTCCCTATGACACAAGACGGACGGTTCGTTCATTACAAGAAAAAGATCAGCGTGCAATTGGGTGATCCGACGACTCCTGGAGTCTACAGTATGAAACAGCCTAACTTCCAACCACAGGTAAGGAAATATGGTCTAACTCAGAGTCAAAATATAGTAGAACTTGCTATCAAACTTGAGTAAAACTTGCTGGGTATGACTTCAGATCAGGAAAAAATTGTTTCGGGTTCTATAACAATAGTATATTGTTATAGAAAAGTGTTCAAACTCGAAAAAAAAATTTTTTGACCCCTGACAATCTTTTTCATTTGAAAACTGCCTTCGGAGACCTTGTAGATCCTTTATTCAGAAAGTTCATAATATTTCAGGCTGTTCTAAGCTCAATATTCCAAAAATTTCCATTAAACTCCTCCAAAAATTATGAACAGACAGTAACTTTTCTCACATTTTACCGCCTAACCCCCCAATTTCAGGACAACGGAGTTGCCGAGACTCTCTATCGCCACAAAACGACCCTAGAGACCCTGTTTCGCTTCATGGACAAAGACAATTCTGGCCAAGTCTCAATGCACGAATTCATTGAGGCCTGCTCGGTCCTGGGCCAGTTCACAAAATCAAACATGAGTCGCGAATATGTGGAGCAAATCGCGGAGAGCATCGACTTCAACAAGGACGGCTTCATTGATCTGAACGAATTTTTGGAGGCCTTCCGATTAGTCGACCAAGGGGCATAAACCACCAAAAAAATACTATTTATACTACCCGGTAGCTCTTTCCGTTCGCTGAGAATGTCTTGGAAATTGTAAAATACGAAGAGTTTTCTTAAAACATAAATTTGAGCATTCAAAATTTCCGTATTTTAGCGCAATATTTTTGTAATTTTCAGCGATTTCTCAATAATACAGCGCAATATTCGTCTCTGAATAGAGTTTTATACAAAAAGCGGAGATTCTGTCGTACTGCAGTCTCTTTTTCGATATTATACTTCCATTTTTTGAACAAAGATATTCGGTTTTACACATCTTTTGTTTGCTAATTTTATGCAATAACTTTGTGGTCTTATTTTACAGAAAAATAAAGTTGTTGAATTGCTATAAAAAGAAAATAAACGGTTTTCAATTCAAAAGTTCATTAGATAAAAAAACATCTTCTGATATAAACAGAAATGTAAAATACGAATTGCTTCTCTTCTAGTTTATTTTTTATCACTGATCAAAATATAAAAATCAACAAATTGTACAAGACATCAACCGGTAACCAACTCTTGCGGTCTTATTTTAAGAATGATGAATCAAACCTTCGCTCAGAAGGCTTTAACAACACATGTAGGCCTTCTTCACTTCTTGAACGAGATCCCCGAGATTTGTTGGGTATCGACGAAGGTAATTTTCGAGATCTGCAAACAAAATTTACATTACACTACCTAAACTCGACCAATTTGACCTCAAAAGTTCTTTCAGTCCCTCGTTATTTGTTCTAAAACTCAAAAAAAAATAATTAAATTTCATACCTGGCTTTATATCGTCCGCAGCCATCAGAATGCATAAATCGAATCTTGACACCTTGGACAACGACAACAACATCTGAAGGACCGATTCTCCAATCAAATCACAAGAATTTAGCCCTTTGAACAGACATACCAAGGTTTCAAAATCAAGGACACCACCAAAAACGGGTTCAAAATAGAAAGGATCAATCGTCTGGAACAAATTGATATTATCTTTGATACCTAAAATCAAAAAACCTTCAAAAATTATGCCACTTACAAGGAAATACTTGGCAAACAACTTTGGGTCATGTCGTAGATCAACAAAGGCCGTGTAAAATTCTGAAGAGGTCTGTGGAGGTGGTGGAAGATCGTCATACTCCATTTGAGATCCTTGTTCTTCTTCAAGAGGCAGATCTGAATCAGGAATTGGCTTTTGGTCGTCCATTTCTTCATCCACTGATATCCTAGCTTGATTGAGATTTATTTTATCCAAATCAGGCACCTTATCATTGATCGGTTTGATCTGAATTTCCTTTAGCGCGGTTTTCGACTGAAGGGCTTCGGATTTGGAAAAGGTAGTAATTTTGAGCTCCGGTTCGTCCATCTAAACGTAAAAATAATAATAGCAAAAACTTACTTGTTTTCCAAGTCTCTCCAGCAACATTACCACATCCCTGTTCATTGGATCTATGTCGAGAAGACGATCAACATCGGCACGAGCCCTACCAAAGAGCTTGAGCTTCTCAGCAGCAAGGGCCCGCCGATATAAAGACTTCTCGTGCTTTGGGTCTAATTTTAGGGCTTCTGTAGTATCAGCCAACGCCTTCTCGTAGCTGAAAGAATAATAACATCAAATGAACATCATAATATTTTTTTAAAAAATTTTCAAGATTAATAAGAACAGTATCATCTAATAATACAATTTTTCGCAACCTCATGGCATAAAAGCGCATTGTCCAATATTGTAGACAAACATAATATTTTGAATTTCTTAATAAAATCATGAGCAAGATAATATTTATCCTAAAGTGCCCTAAAATCAAGAAAAAAATTTAGAAAATATACCTTTCCATCTTGAGATAAGCTTGAGCTCGATTCCCCAAAATCACAGGTGTAACTTCAAATTCCAGGGCTTTCGAGTAGGATTTGACGGCATTGTTGAATCTCTTGTGCTTGAAGTGCTCATTACCTTCTAACCTCAAGGCTTCAGCTTCTTTTGACATCCTTGAACCTAAATCTATCCGAAAAATTCAAGAAAACTACCGGCAAAAAAATAAAGAAATAATTTTTGTTTGCGTCAACTCTCACTCTGACTTTGCGTCAACTGTTTCTTTAGTCAAGAAAAGTCTCAAAACATATCTGATTGAAAACTCCAAGGGTAGTTATGAGTCCTCTGAACAGTCAAAGTGCCTTGTCTAGCTAAATCAGTTAATTCTGACAGATTCCAATAATATTTTGACCGATTTTTTTCGTGAATAACACCTACGTTTCGGCGGTTGACATAAACATGGCCCGAATCACAAGTAGTCAGAACTAATTTATTACTAAATAAATAGGGTTTATCACAAAGATCATGATTTTTTGGTTTGAAAGTTCTCTACTTTCCCATCTTCCATGCCTTCAATTTCGTCCCGAATGGATCCAACTGTCCGATGTTGCACACAAACTTCTTGCAGAACAAATTCGTATTCAGTTTTTGGAAACCTCTGAGCAAACGTGCAATCCACTCCTACAATGAGTTTCAGTATAGTGCGAGAAAAAAACAGCTAAATAAAACAATGAATTTTAGTTGGCTTACTTGGTACCTGCGATGATGATAATGTCGGTGATGACATGATCTGATAATCTGTTGGGTAAGGCTGTAATTTATAGGTCATAAAAGAGGTATCAACAAAGTAACATTAACAGAAATCGCGGGCTATCAGCACATGTTTTCAGCTTTCTACTTTAGTCATCTAAAAAAACCTAAAAATAGTCCAGAATAAAATGTAATTGTACGATACAGGAAGTAAGACAATCTCGCTGAAATCTAAATTATTTAGCGTAATTTTGATAAAAAATTAGGCCAATATCCTTGAGGATACCAGCGAAACAGGAAGAAAGACTATACTGCTCCACGAAATGATAGACGCACCATATTTTTAGCGATTATCTTCCTTATACTGAATGACATCCAAAAATGTTCAACAGATGAAATGTGGCAAATTAAACGAGAAATCATGTCCCGTAGCAATTTTGGAACAAAATTTTGCCTTGACTGAGATATGACATTTTTTAGACTTTTTTGGGGTCCACAAAATGATAGACGCACTTGAGTAATTTTGTGTTTATTTAAAAGAATTTTGAGTCAACCTGCTCTTATTACATTTCGTCGTGTTCTCTGTAGTATTAGAAAGGGAATTACATTTATATCCGCCATACTTCATCGACGCAATGGCCTTATGAGCCATTTCCGACCTTGTACATGAGGTAAACATTCATTTTGAAAAAAAAAAAATTAGGTTGGGCTGTCTTCTTGGGCAAAAAACTAGCTAATACTGTTAGATTATACGTGTAAATCTCGCTAATGGAAAAAAACAGCTTGTTCAAAGATCTCGGGTATTTTCTTGGCTTATAATCTTCAGCAAGTAGCTACCGTAATACATTTAGACCCCCGAAATACCAAGACGAATGAACGGATTGGCAAAATTTGATTTGCGAATTCGAATTCAGCATGCCTGAAAACGTAATGCTGCACTCATCAGCCGTTAGAGAACAAATTGTGTCTGTAAACTCTTTCTAAAAAAAAGTTCACAAAAATAGGCATATTTTGGCCTATTTTTACACGTTTATATTTTAACTAATCATCTGCGGCACATAGTACATTTAAGCAAGCAATAAGTTGCTGTTATAGGTTTTTTAACATGCTGAGTTTGATTTTCTGAGCAAAAAGTTGCCATCGATGGAAATTTTCTGTACTCTTAGGGCCTTTGAAGGTTACTGTAGATGGTCTACGGTAATTTAATGGTCGATTAAATGACTTCAAACGGATCGGTATTGGTTTATTTTATATCTTATATTTGCTACAAGTAATCTAAAATGGTTTAAAGTACGCACTTCCGCTAAGCCAAAATTGGCTTTCTCCCAGCAAAGAAATTTTTCGTTGCGGGACCCGCACCCGGTGGAAGCGCCACTAAAAATAAAAATAATTTTTCAAAGAAAGTTGATGTTCCAATGTAAAAATGATGTTGAAATGGAGTTTCCACAGAGGTAAGTAGGTTTTCACACCTATTTGAGCTTGAAAATGCTATAATAGTTCTTAGTTGTCCATTTTTTCCTCATTTTTCGTAATGTTATGTGATCTTGCGGACGGATCAAGATTGGCTATGGAGAATTTGAGTTTTTTTTGATGTAATTTCAGAAATAGGAGCACAACAGTCCATCCAGACACTGGAATCTCCTCCAAGGCCGTCAAAATCACGAACTCCACCCCAAAGATGTTTTTTGAACGCATCGGTATGTTGTTTATGTTATTATTGCATTATTTATTTAGATTTTTAGGTAAATCTTTTCGAATTTACAGATGGTGAACCTTCTCCCTGCGCCCAGTACAACAATCGCCCCATGATCGCTGCGTGCGTTACTGATCCCAAACGGCCCTCTTTAGGGCCACATTTATTTGATGTTGATGCGGTGATGTAAATAAAGAATCTGGTTTTAGTGGATTGTAGACGATTAATTTTTGAAGACGAGCACCGCCACGTCAAGAAGCTAATCATAAACCTAGAGATTACCAAACAGAACAATTAAAAAATCGTGTATGCGAATCCTTTGTGAAAGAACGTTATTTATGAAATTCTGTCGTTTCAGATTACCATTTCAACCAGAAGCTATCTATAAAACAAAATTTAAATCACATGAAACATGATAAATTGAAATAAAAGTTTTATTTATACCAAAAACATCTAAAACATGCCAAAGTAATATCAAGTGTAATATGTGGCCCTAAAGAGGGCCGTTTGGGATCAGTAACGCACGTAGCGATCGTGGGGCGATTGTTGTACTGGGCGAAGGGAGGAGCTTCACCATCGCGATGCATCGGTAAATTTGAAGAGATTTACCTAAAATCTAAATAAATAATGCAATAATAACATAAACAACATACCGATGCGTTCAAAAAACATCTTTGGAGATGGAGCTCGTGATTTTGACGGCCGTGGAGGAGATTCCAGTGTCTGGATGGACTGTTGTGCTTCTACTTCTGAAATTACATCACAAAACTCAAATTCTCCATAGCCAATCTTGATCCGTCCGCAAGATCACATAACATTACGAAAAATGAGGAAAAAATGGACAACTAAGAACTATTATAGCATTTTCAAGCTCAAATAGGTGTGAAAACCTACTTACCTCTGTGGAAACTCCATTTCAACATCATTTTTACATTGGAACATCAACTTTCTTTGAAAAATTATTTTTATTTTTAGTGGCGCTCCCACCGGGTGCGGGTCCCGCAACGAAAAATTTCTTTGCTGGGAGAAAGCCAATTTTGGCTTAGCGGAAGTGCGTACTTTAAGATGGTTTTTTGGCGAAAGCAAAATCGTTAATCAAATTTTTTTTTCAAACGAATTTTTACCTCATGTACAAGGTCGGAAATGGCTCATAAGGCCATTGCGTCGATGAAGTACGGCGGATATAAATGTAATTCCCTTTCTAATACTACAGAGAACACGAGGAAGTGTAATAAGAGCAGGTTGACTCAAAATTCTTTTAAATAAACACAAAATTACTCAAGTGCGTCTATCATTTAAGAGCGAAGGAATAAGAGCGAAAAAAATCTTCTGAAAAAAATGCTTCAGCCTCTTTCTTTTTTTGTCGAAAGAGTCTCGAGCAGATTCTCACCACTTGGGGACGCGTCTGCCGTCACACTCTTTCTTCTCTTCTGGAGGAAGCGTCTGCGAGCAGGCTCTTCCCGACGTTTATAAGCCCCGCCCCCTCGATTTTGAGCCAATCATCGCTGAGTTGGCGGTTTTCTTGCGGAAAACGGTTGTTTTGGGTGAAAATTTTTGCCTTTTCATTATTCCGGTGATTTGGGCATGTTTTTATTTGTTTTAGAACTGTGATACGCTTAGCCTTACTATGGCTGTCATTTGAAGATTCAATTGAAAATCAGATACATTCCTGGTTAACACAACGGTTAAGAAAATCAAGAAAAAACAAGTTTCACAGATTTATTTATGTGCACCACAAGTAACATCTTTACATTTAGATGTAGAGGGCCGTGTCGGATTCTGCCCATGGGCGTTCGTGTCCATGTTCACAGTCTCCCTTTCTTCCTCATTGTTACTGAGGTTGGCAGTTGCAATTTTAGGATATTGAGGCTGAATTTGGAAAAATTAGCGACTTTTCAACAATTTTATATCTAAAATAACATCAAACTCCTCAAAACAACTCTGTCGGTCGTACTTATTATTGGCGCACATGCAAACCACGTGTCACTCACTAAACTGCACATTTCGCAACAAATTTACCTTATTTTAGACAAAGATACCTAAAAATTTCAAAAAATCTCGGTTGACGTAGGCCTGCAAAAAATTTCAATAATATCAACTAAATTACTATTTATACTTTCTTTCTCCGCCTCCTAAGCACTTCATCACTCACAAAAACAGCGCAAACTCAAAAAATAATATTACTTTAGCCCAATCCGCTGAAAACTCAAAAAAAAAAACCTCAAAAATCCCAATCTTCTCCCTCAAAACTCTCTAAAACTGTTACTTACTTCCCATTCAACAAGTCGTGAATATCCCTCTCCGTGCTGGATCCAGCTTCATCAACTGCCACGGGGATCTTATCCGTGGAGACCAAATTCTATATTGCTTTATACCTAAAATGTTTAAAAAAAGTTCTAACTTACAAAGTCGTCCGAATTTATCGCTGTAGCGATCACATACTGTTGATGTCGAACATCAATTGGGCCTGAAAAGTTAAAACAAGTTCAGGTATGGTGTCCGCAGTTGGCCGGGTAGGAAAAATTAGACCTGAAATTACTCAAATATGCTAACAAAATAAGGCAACTTACATTTCGCCGCGTCGGTCCGCCCTTCTTCGTCAAAATTCCCTATCATTCATCGATGGGCTTCACCTCCATCTATTGTCGTCGGCCACTTTTGTTCGGTCAAAACGACTGAAAATTGTTCGGGCGCAAGCTGCGGAACCTTTTTTTCGCTTTTGCCAGAAAAATGAAGTTTTACCAACAACTTTGACGCCAAAAAAAGGACGACCAAGATTGATATGCGATTGATGAAGGCCTCCAAACACCGCCCATCAGATGTTGAACTGGATCTACTGCAAATCATGGACTTATATTCGGCCTCCAATGTCTGGACTCGGAAAAGGTACGTAGAATGTTAAATTGTTGATAGTATTGACAAATTTTAGCCGAAATATCTCCGCGTCATGTGCAGCGAGATGTTTCAATAGTTCTGGAGGACAAGCATAATAATGATGGGGCTTATGAAGTAAATGAAGTCCCTCTTCATCGGCTTGCAATATGGTAAGTTCTTTTCTTCTGTTTTGCGTTGTTGATTTAGGAAATCAACTAAATAGCTCCACCGAATGCATTCGCAGCCAGCCGTTCAACAATCCCATAGGTACGCGAAAAAGTGCACAATTTTCCGGCTATTGTTGCTATTACAATTCAGCCACCATGGTTTATTATCTCTGTTACCTGAATTACATTTTTGTGACCTTCTTTACATCAGATTTATATATTATATTTGATTTCTCCGATATCTGTTTCTTAGACACCTTTATTTATTGTTATTAAAGATTAGTTATTCATTTATTTTATAGAAAATGAACGAAGAGTGTTAGATTATACTGTCCAAACTTTCTTCTCAGAGAAAAAATGTAAAAAACATTGTATACTTGAAAAGAACAGTGCTTTATTTACTAAATGGCAACATTTCAATTCGCCGTTTTTCCTCAAAATCCTGCAGAAGTGGGCGGAGCCAATAGGCGGAAAGAGTCTCGACCCACACTCTTCCCCCACCTTGATGGCGGGAGCGTCTGCTCGAGACTCTTTCCGCCTCTCAGATTCTTTCCCAAATGGGAAGAGTTCGTAAACACACTCTTCCGAACGAAAAGGAAAGAGGCTGAAGCATTTTTTTCAGAAGATTTTTTTCGCTCTTATTCCTTCGCTCTTATTTTGTGGGCCCCAAAAAAGTCTAAAAAATGTCATATCTCAGTCAAGGCAAAATTTTGTTCCAAAATTGCTACGGGACATGATTTCTCGTTTAATTTGCCACATTTCATCTGTTGAACATTTTTGGATATCATTCAGTATAAGGAAGATAATCGCTAAAAATATGGTGCGTCTATCATTTCGTGGAGCAGTATATTTCAAACAACATTTTTAACCTGTGGCTAAGACAATGTAAAATACGCATTGGTTTTAAGGATATTTTATTAACACACGCTAGATACTAAGTCTACGACTAAATTTTGCTATAATTTTTTAGTGTAGACACTTACCAGACCCTTAAACCCACTTAAAATCATGCCCAGTCTCTCCGCCAAAAAAAACCCAAAATTGCACTAAAAATACCCTCAAAGCACGCAGACTGCACCTTTGTTTGTCTTCCCAATCAATCCTCGACCTTCCTGGAGAGCATCTGACCCCAGTACATCTTATATAACCTTCTAGAGCGGCCGGCACCGGGCTCGATCCTAATCCAATCGCGGAATTCCGTTCTCAATCCCACAAATGATGTGACTAAATTTAGAAATGAGGTCATTTCTCGCTGTGAAAGGCAATATCTTAGTCTTTGCAAGACGGAGAATTTTTGCATATTACGAAGTAATTGATGGAATTTGCAGAAATGACGTATAAACGGCCGAAGATTGACGAGGATGGCTCAATACACGCAAGAATCGTTGAGGCCAAAATATCTCTTTTAAATGTAGGGATCTTGTGCAGAAAGGGTTTGGCCGACAGGCCACATTCTTTCATAATTGACCAAGAACCCAATAAAATCACTCCTTTTTATATAGCAATATAATAGATACTACGCATAATGAAGCACGAGACGCCTAACTAATCTGATTACTGGACATAAATAGAGCTCTATTCATGTTCTATGTTATGACAAACACATTTGTTTTGATCAAGAAAAGAGCACTTTTAAAAAATAATGAGATTGGGTTACTGTAATCACCAAAAAACGGAAAATTGGCTAAAATATGCTTGCGATTCTGCACGTAAATTTCATGCAAATTCGGCCAAGATCTCTACGAAGCAAGGACGACCGATCCAAACTCGTTTATTCTGCTGTTTGTGCTTCTTGTGCGGTTGAACTAAAAGTGCATTGAAGCCATGAAGCTGGTCAGAATCATCCTCGTCTTGTTCTGGGTGTTCGCTGTGGTTGCCGCTAAGGTAAGTCCAACTGATATTCTGCTCTATGGAGTTATTTTTAGCCTAAATTTGCTCTCAAATCCAAGTCGCTGGATTCTCTGGATGGTGCAGGAATGGGTGGATTGAAGTCGCTGGATTCTCTAGAAGGTGCAGATATGGGTGGATTGAAGTCTCTGGATTCCAATGAAGGTGAAGGAATGGGTGGATTAAAGTCGCTGGATTCTCTGGAAGGTGCAGATATGGGTGGATTGAAGTCTCTGGATTCCAATGAAGGTGAAGGAATGGGTGGATTGAAGTCGCTGGATTCTCTAGAAGGTGCAGATATGGGTGGATTGAAGTCTCTGGATTCCAATGAAGGTGAAGGAATGGGTGGATTGAAGTCGCTGGATTCTCTAGAAGGTGCAGATATGGGTGGATTGAAGTCTCTGGATTCCAATGAAGGTGAAGGAATGGGTGGATTGAAGTCGCTGGATTCTCTAGAAGGTGCAGATATGGGTGGATTGAAGTCTCTGGATTCCAATGAAGGTGAAGGAATGGGTGGATTATGAATCAGACGTCTCAGCCGCAGGCAATTAGGATACATTTCGGATTTTTAAGTAAATAAATTAGTTTATGACGTATTCGAATTTTTAAACAATTCTAAAAAAATCCATAAAGTTTAGACTTTGCATTTCGTCCCTTTTCTGACAATGAGCCATTCGCACGGCACGGAATTTCCGATTCCCTCCCGTTTGAATTGCACTGTGCATCAAATCTTCATTTCCCCAAGAATTTGTTCTTTTTTTCTCCCTCTCTCCTTCAATGTCTCACTCTCTCCATTGTCGCAGAAAGTTCCAAAGCTGTGTCGCGCAAGAAGATCGCAGCGATTTTTGCTGAAATTGGCGACAAACTTGATGTCGCATTTTGGGATCGCAGCGACACTTGGTGAAATTTGCGACGAGGTTGATGTCGCACCCCAAATCGTTGTCGCTTTGAAACTGAAAGAGCCAAAATTGGGGAAATCGAGGGTCCGGGAAATTCAAAATCTGTTCGCACCGTGCGGACTTTCAGAGGGCTGCACTGTGCAATGGGGAGGGCACAATTTGAGCCTTGCACCGTGCAAAAATAATTTTTTTGCCTTACAGTAACTTCAAAATTATCATAATTTAAATATTTATTATGTACATCCAGCAGGCGTTTCCACTCCCTTTACTAAATATTAACTATGGCCTAGGTTTGAATGCCCATTCCAGAGGATCTCTTGAAGGAATTGTTCATTGTCATTTATGGGCATGTTCATGAAGCCGGGATGTTTTACAAGCATCTGATGCAGATTTGTTTGGAGTTCCCATATCGTTTGTTGTCGTAAGTCAATCTCGAAACTGGGATGGATTGGAGCAGGGTGCTAAAATTATATTAATTTTGGTAATAACTTGGAAAAAATAGAAAAATAAGCTTCAATCTTACCCTTGGTTCCGGATCATCACACGTCATCATCGGGCCTTGATCATGTCTACAACAAGAACAAATCTCTCCATGGAAAAATCCTCTCGCCTCTGTCATGTATGGCTGTTTCAACGCTTGATCCGCGCTACATCGTTTCCTATGATCGTAGTTCAAAAAGCTTTTGAGAAGCATCAGATCCGCAGGATGTAAGGGGAATATCGACCATTTTCTTTCATCTTGCCGCCGTTGATGGTTTTTGTAGTTGGCTGGGATGCTGTGCAGGAAATTGGGCGAGACTCCGATCATTTCTGCCGGCATTGGAGGCCCGAGAAACTCAATTATCTTGTCTAGTTGCTGAAAAATAAAAAAAATCATATAAAGTTTTACTTTTCTACAATTTTCGGTACAAAAGTCATACATTCATTTTAAATTCACTTTTAAAAAAACTACCCCAAAATCCACGCTCCGTTCAGCTCACATACAACCTGTTAATGCTCTATCCGCGCCAATATAATGATCAACAATTTTTTTATCAAAAATCGCAGCTTTTATATTATTTTAGGTACCAAAATTGGTCAATTGATAGCAAAATAAAAAACCAAGCCCTCTGCACCCCAAACAATAAATTCCGCACATACCTCGACCTCTGTCGTCCCTTGAAACAACGGCCTCCTCAACAACAACTCCGCCCATATACATCCAACACTCCAAATATCCACTGATCTAGTATAATAACAATTCTCCATCAATAATTCAGGCGGTCGATAGTACATCGTGATTACTTCTATTGACATAGGCTCCTGCACTGTTTCGTTCCATATCCGTGATAGTCCAAAGTCGCAGATTTTGAGAAGACAATTCGAATTGACCAGTAGATTTGAGGGCTTGAGATCTCTATGGATAATATTGGCGGAATGAAGGTATTTGAGTCCGCGAAGGAGTTGATAAACAAACAGTTTGATGTGGATTTGGTCGAGGACTTGATCTGAGACAATGACCTTGTGGAGATCGGTTTCCATTAGGTCTGTGAAGACAAATCTGAAACTTTTCATTATTTTAGGTATCTTTGAACAAATTATGTTGTAAAACTTGGTAAAAAGAAATGAAAGAAATCTGTTTTAGGTAATAAAATTTCCCAAAACATCTAAAATAAGGTCCAAAACGAATCTACGTCGAAAATCAATATTTTAACCACTTACACTTGCTGAAAATCCGTCCTTGTAGGCCTGGCGACATCAAAAAGCCCCAGCACATTATCATGCCTCACAGATCCCAATATTTTCAGCTCTCTAAATACCCGCTTTGCCGACGAACTTGTCATAAAAATGTTCGATATCATCTTCACAGCCACCCTCCGCCCACTTCTGTTGTCAGTCCATGAATGTACTCGGCCGAATGCCCCATACCCAATCATTTTATCCATCTGGATGTAGGGATATCCGTGGGATTGCATCGTTGGATAAGCCATGGCTGGCTGAAAATTGAATATACTCGTATTTCTTGCTGTCTAAAGTGAGAAGAAAGCTAGGTAAAGACTTACCGGCTCCGTGCTGTAGTTGAAATTCATGTCGCCGCAGGTGGAGAAGGGCCCAGAATCGTTGGAATAGGTGCTGCCGACTGATGGAGGCTGACTTATTGGGCCTTGTAAGTCAAATGCCGGCATCTGAAAGCAGCAAAATCAAATACAAGCATCGTAAACGCTACACATAAGACACGAAGATCACAAAAAAACTAAAATTCCTTGAGAAATCTCAAAAAACCTTTATAAATCGCCCTCATACAACTACTTATCCAAAAAACAACCCATCTTCCTCTCAAAAATGTTACAGTAGCCCTAATACAAAAAAAAATCAAAAAAATAAATTCAAAAATTTCAAAAAATATTTTTGCCCCGAAAATTCTGCCGAACGGGGTTACCCGGAAAAGTGACGCCGAGGTGGAAACGGGCGTTATAATGCGAGGGAAAAGCCAAAAACATTGTGCACTCCAGCTGGTTTCGGCGCTTGGGTTTCGCTGCGATCGCCCGCTTTTTTATGCCTGGTGGTAAATTTCAAGAGGCGACAAAATGTCATGCTGATCATGTAAATGCAGGTGAAATCGAATCGGAGGCTGTAAAAAATAGAGAAATACAGATTGAAAGGGAGATCAGAGGAAGGTTACAGAAAAATCCCAGACAACAAAAAAAGAAATTTAATCCGGATGACATTAAACTTCTTGAATAACAAATTAATACATATTGTAGCTGAGCATTAAAATTAAAATTTGAAGAAAAACTTCCCCTGGCGTTATAAAATTGATAGCCACCAGTAAATCGATCACACAATATAAAAATTTCTGCGTTCCTATTACATCATCAAATCAACGAAAACCCTTGATTTCCGGTAAATTTCTGCAAAGTTATGCAATCAAATATTTCTGTCAATTTGTAAATAAAAAAACAGGAACTTATCAGTCAGTTAAAAATGTAATTACCCTATGATACAGCGGTCTTTACCATTCCGCCTGCGCTCCCTACTTTTTTTGTTGCTTTTTGTGATGAACACTTGAGAGGATTCGGGAGGTAAAGCGTTTGTTACAACTGGATATTTTACAGTGAGTATTGATTAATTAAACTTTGAATTCTTTCTTTTTTATGTAACCACACCATGTTTTCTTTCAGAAAACATGTCGCCTGTGCAGTTTTCACTACAGCCACGTAAATTATACGGCTTGATATATGAGAAGTGCAAACTTTAGTTGTGCTTATGTAATGCACATCAACTCGAGCGTAATTTATGGAGTCTATAGAATGAACTGAGTCTTCGAAATTGGGTAAGTAAAATGCGATTTTTTGTATTATTTCATCATCGTATTTATTTTATAATTTATTTTCGTTTTCAGAATGGTTTAAACTGGGATGGTCAATCGTAATTTAATTGGACTACGTCTTTCAACTATACGACGTGATATGCTTATGCAATCCACATAGAATCAATCGTAATTTATGGACTGTTTAGAACGAACCGAGACTTCGAAAATGGGTAAGTAAAAAACTGATTTCTTATATAATTTCATCATAGTATTAATTTTATAATTAATTTTCGTTTTCAGAATGGCTCAAACTGGGATGGTCAATTGTAATTTAATTGGACTGCGTCCGTCAACTATACGACGTGATATGCTTATGTAATGCACATAAACTCGAGCGTAATTTATGGACTCTATGCCGCGAACCGAGTCTTCAAAATGCGGTAAGTGAAAGATTATTTTTTTTTTATAATTTCATCATAGTATTCATTTTTATAATTAATTTTCGTTTTCAGAGTGGTTCAAACTGGGATGGTCAATCGTAATTTAATTGGAAATTATTCAGCTACACGACGTTGAGTAAAATTCGACATCCGGTGTGGTGCTGCATGTTAAAGATTATGTACCATTACCTACTTTGTGTATCAATATCTGCTACATGATACTTCAAACTTACTCCACCTCTTCAGAATGGTTCAAACTGGGATAGTCGATCGTAATTTAATTGGACTACGTCTGTTAACTATACGACGTGGTATGCTTATGTAATGCACATAAACTCGAGCGTAATTTATGGACTCTATAGCGCGAACTGAGTCTGCGAAATCGGGTAAGTAAAAGATTATTTTTTGTATAATTTCATCAAAGTGTTAATTTTACAATTTATTGTTATTTTCAGAATAGTTCAAACTGGGATAGTCGATCGTAATTTAATTGGACTACGTCTGTCAACTATACAACGTTGCGCGCGCGCGCGCACACACACACACACACACACATACGACGTTGCGTAAAATTCGACATCCGGTGTGGTGCTGCATGTTAAAGATTATGTACCATTACCTACTTTGTGTATCAATATCTGCTTCATGATACATCAAACTTACTCCACCTCTTCAGAACGGTTCAAACTTGGATGGTCAATCGTAATTCTATTGAACTACATCTTACTACACGACGTGATATGCTTATGTAATGCACATAAACTCGAGCGTAATTTATGGACTCTATAGCGCGAACTGAGTCTTCAAAATACGGTAAGTGAAAGCCTATTTTTTATAATTTCATCATAGATTAATTTTACAATTAGTTGTCCTATTCAGAATGGTTCAAACTGGGATAGTCGATCGTAATTTAATTGGACTACGTCTTTCAACTACACGACGTGATATGCTTATGTAATACACATAAACTCCAGCTACACGACGTTACGTAAAATTCTACAATCGGTGTGGCGCTGCATGTTAAAAATTATGTAGCATTACGTACTTTGTGTATCAATATCTTCTGCATGATACTTCAAACTTACTCCACCTCTTCAGAATGGTTCAAACTGGGATGGTCAATCGTAATTTAATTGGACTACATCTTTCAACTACACAAGGTGCGCGCACACACGCACGACGTTGCGAAAAATTCAACATCCGATTTGGCGCTGCGCGTTAAAAAAAACACGTACCGTTAACAAAGACTTTAATTCCGCATTCTATCTGCTTCATGAGAATTCAAACTTACTACAACTAGATTTCATAACACTCCTTTATTACAATACTATCGTGTCATCATGATTAATATGGCTAAATATTGGCATGATAGGCTGAATGCTCCTGTCCTTCATCAAGTTGTTGAGAATACATGTTTGACGACGTCAGCGGGTCAGAGAAGTTTTTGCATAACGCCAAAATTGTTGAAATTGTATGTGCAACAATTAGCACCGTTAGAATACTGATGAAAGTGTAGAGCAGAAGAAGTCTGCAATGGCATCAGAGGTTTCGGAATTAATTTAAAAATAGCTTACGATTCCGGTCCAATAGGTCGGTTTAAGCCCACAGAGAACATTGTTTTCATGTTATGAGTTACAGCAGTGATGCGATCTGCAGTAATCATATGACCAAAAATTAGAAACAAGCTAATAATCTGCAGTACCAACGCTGCCAATCGCAGATTTCGTTGTTGTATCATAGTTGAGGCCGAGCAGAGGCCGGTAGCAAGTGTAATATAAGAGCAAATTATCAGCTCCCGAAGGCCGAACCCATACAAAGCCGCGATATTTCGAACCGATGGTACCGCCCTAAAATTGTATAAAATAAATCGTTGAAAATTTATTTTATTTTTTTTGCAAATTGCTTTACTGACCATTCCGTAACGCTTGTCAACGTGCTTGCGCTCACGTAAACACCCAAAGCGCTGCAAACAATGCTCAAAATTACAGACGCCATTCCCAGATGAACGTCAACTGGGCTATGAACAATATTACACGGCTCCGAAAGAACCAAAATAGCATTACACATGGATAAGGATGTAACAACAAGCACCATAAGAGCAGTCAGTACCAGTAAAACAAGGAGAATGTGATATGTAAGCGATGAGATGTTATTTTCTAGTTGAACATTTCGAAGATTCAGCTCCAAAGCCGCGTAAGTAATGGGTTCGAACCAATAAACAATCGCAAACATGGAGAAAATTACGTGGACTATCTGAAAACATTTTAGCCAAGAGATATAGGCCGCGACCAGATTCCCTATTCTACAAGACTGCTTCTCCCAAAACACGTTTCTTACTAGACACCCATAATTGCTCCGCGGTTGACCTGGCCAAACTCCACTAAACCCGCTTATCAGTTGTAAACAACATGGAACAAACAAGCTAGCTCCAAGTTTTATGGAAATTATCTCTGTTCCATCTTGATTTGATTGCGCATAATCTTCGGCCTTGATAAAATCCAAGAGAATATTTCCATTCGGTCTCTAAACAATTTTAAAAATAACACTGAAGGACACAGCAAACCTACCCCAAAAATTCTAAAAAATCTAAAAAACGCGAAGATCAGCAAAAGTATGGCGATAAAAATCTGGATCACGTTGAGGACCGACCAAATATTTGGTCGATAACAGCTTGAAGAGGGGCGATAAGAAGCACGTTTTTTGCTAACCGCCGCATATTCATTGAGCTGACGGTCTTCCAAAAAATTGAAGTCGTCCGGAGTCTAAAATGCATCAGATATAAAGAAAAAAATCAAACTCAAAACGGAGAAGGGATGCATCTATGCAAGACATTACACCATACCAACTCTTTATAGATATCACTTTCACTTGGATAAGGGTCCAAAGTCCGTCTATAACTAGTAGTCCTGTGTTCCATAAGACTCTCTACTTGCAATAATTACAATACTCCAAAAACAATCAAACTGAATAATCAAGAATTAGAAATGAATCGTAGAAACAATTTCTTTGAATCCCGTTCGGAAAAAACAATATTTGCTTTGAGATTTCCTTTCAGCTCCTTGAAAATGAGCAATAAAAGGGAGACGCGAAAAAGCCAAACAAAAAATTCAAATCAGCGGGTTTTTATAATATTCGACAATCAGAAGGGGTCTCTAAAGACTGGGAAAAGTGAGAAAGTGAGTACTTGAATACTGATAAGGATAGTTGATTAGAAATAATGATAAAACGGAAGTAATGAAGTGTGTCAACATCTAGAGATGACGACTTCTTGTAATGAAAGCCCTGAGGACGAGATATTACTGAAAATGAGGAGACTGCAGAGACAACGCGTTTAGATTGTATGCGAAAAATTCCTTGATGAAATAACCTTAACCTATTCGACTCACATCGGCTCTGGATCTGCCATAAATCTTTGGCCTGGGAATCGAAATGTTCGTCCGGCCATCAACATAATCCGAATCCTCATCAAACGCCCGTTGAAATCGCCGTCGATTCTCTCGCATTGCCTCATCTTCCACATAGACCTCATTCGCCCCATCATTTTGATATCTCATATTGTTGTAGTAGAAATTCTGTCGAGAAACTGGTCGTTCATCCTGATCTCGACCAACTTCAGGGGGTCGGTAATCAACAGTTGTTGTCCAAACAGGCTGAGAATGAGCTGTAGAATGTTGAGGCATTCTTCAAGGGTCAGTCTATGACATAACCGAGAGACGATGACTAAAACTCGGCTGGTGATTATGTGCAGAGCAAAATAAGAAAAGTTTGAACGATTAAAGATGACGAACTCGGTAATTGAGGAAGGGAAAAAACTCAACAAGTAAAAAAATTAGAGTTGTTATTCAAAACCGGTGAATCAGAAAGAAAAGGTTCTAAAAATTGGGCAAAAGCGATGTAAGAACTGTAAGCAATCGGAAACGCGAATCCTTTTTGGTCGATATGACCTTTTTCCACTAGTTTGATACTTCGAGTTGAATCACTCGAATGTCTCAAAAGCTCTTTTGTTCACCAAATCCTTGCACTCCATCGGTTCGACAAAGCTCAAGTTCGATGGCGGAAGCTGAAATTCCACCGCGAATATGTATTAACAAAACTATCGAAAAATTATAAAATCTTAATAAAAACAACCACAAAATATAAATATCCCTATAAATAGGCTCATACCACTGTAAAACACGGAATGGATTTTGGCATCAACTCACCTTGAACATGTTGGATACAAAAACCAATGATTTGCAGTGGGAAATAATCCTTGATGATCCGGAAAAAGCGCCGCCGCAAATCCGAATCCATCTTGTAATCGGACAAAGGCGCTTTTCATGGCTGTCAACAGATCAAAAGTGTTGGCGAACATTGAAAATGCTTGAAGGAGTTCAAGGCTGCACCAGACGGAGTTTTTTTTTATTTTAATAAGCAATCATTGCAATTTTTTGCTAATTATTGGCATCATTTTTGCAATTTTTGCATTTGCCTAAATTTTTGTCCTGAAGAACATATTTTTTTGCAACATTTTTATTTTTATTATGACCGATCAAGTATAATAGAATTATTATTCCCATTTCTATTCTACCACTTCGAATTTTCGGCCAACACACTTCTCCAAAAAGTGTCGGCACAATTCCGAATATTCTTCGGGGTATTTTCGAAGATGGGCAACATGGCCAGAATCTGGCCAAATTTTGGTCTCAACATTTTTTTGTTTGGAGAGTTGTAGGTTGACAAACCGCGAAATTAGCTGGTGCTTGCAGATCATATCAGCTTCCGAATAAAGGAAGAGCTGATTCTCAGGAAGATCGTCGAAACTTTCGAGTAATGTGTTTGGAATGGCCTGGAAAAAAGCAAAACTTTGAGTGAAAATTCGATTTTTTAAGAGTTCCATAAATGAATATCACGTTAATGATTTCCAAAATGTAGTTCTAGAAGGGAGCAAGAACAAAAATAAATACAAAACTTACAATTTGCCGATAAGACGGCTGGAAAAAAGTCCTGATTCTCAAATAAGCCACATAAGAAAAGAACACTGGAGCCACCAACGCAAAATGAAGCAAATAGGATAATGTGCCATGTTGTGTTGTCGGCACATTGGTGTAATATGCGGCTTGAATCCAGGTAATAATATTATCGTTAGTCGCTGGACCACTAAAACAAAAATCAGGTAAAAAAATTTCAAATAAGGTAATAAATAAGACAAAATGGACACCTACCTGTCAAAGATGACTCCCCGGACACGATCTTTCCACCACTTCCTCTCAGCGCCAATAATTTTCCATAAATGAGCCAACATTCCCGATCCATTGTTGCTAAACACGTGAAAAACAACTGGAGTCGGGTCGTCCGGGTTGGAAAACACGCTCTTTTCGATCTCATGGAAGTATTCGCGGACGGCGCTAGGGGTTACACGAAGAAACACACCTTGATAAAGCTGAGGGCAGTACAAATGCGGGTTTATACTAAAAAACGCAGGTTGACGTCAAGTATAAATAACATTGAAGATTAGAAGACTGCAAAATTATGCTTTCTGGTATTCCTAAATCCGTTATTACGCAATCAAAATGTAAAACTCACCCCAACCGTTGATAAACTGGCAGATATTTGCTTAGATACCGCATATTGCATCCAGCCCATCCAATCAGCAGAACTTTTACATCATTCCTCACCACATTTCGATTGGAAATAGTACTTCCATTGGCTAATAAATTAGCGTCAGACATGTTCTTGCACGTCTAAAAAAATAAACGTCAGGAAAAACTTCTCGTTTCCTCCAAAATTCGCGTTTTTTCCCTCTGAAACACCCTCGAAATCACGAAGAATGAGCGAAATAAGGGCAGAATACAAAACACAAGCCCGACGGAGGGAACATTCACCCTCCCCACCCATAAACTTGACGTGGTCCGACTTTTTATACTGTTATTCAACGTTGAATACCGTTTTCCGTCAAAAACTAGATAAGACAATCTCTAAAAATCGAATAAACAGTGAGAAAACGTATCGAATGAGCTGAAAATTCTAAAAACAACAAGTGAAACACTGAAACAAATTGTCCTTGCAGCGGACTTTGAGGTTTCCGAGCAAAAAAGATTTTGAGGAAAAAATAGGAGAGAAACACGAAATTTCACGAAAATATCGGATTTCCAAGCGAAGTATCACGCGATTATCGGATTAAGTGTTGGCCAAATGCGGCTACGAAAAGTTTTGAGTAATTTGTTTAGTATTTCAAATCATAAACCGTAGATCTTACATCTTTTAGGATCAAAATATAATCCCCGTCATGTTTTAAGGGTGAACTTGATGTTCTAAGTCCATAAACAACAAAAAGTACTTGAAAACATGGTTTAAATAGGTTTAAAATACCGAACGTGTCGTTATTTTTGTTTTTCTGATAACCAGAGTTGCTGTGTGTCGGGATCTACCAAGTTTTTCATTAGCTTTACATTTGATGTCAAGTGTAATATAATTTGGTCATACTTTGTTTTAGCGGATTGCAGTCTTTATTGTCCCAAATTGCGTAGTATGTATGTCCGGTTAATTGCATAATATTTCACACCTACATTAGATAATATTTTTCCTGATATTTCTCAAAGTTTTTATTTCCAAGATCACCATTTTGATGAGCATATCAAAATCAGCACAAATCTGCGATTAATCAAGAAATCGGATTTGATTTATGAGGCCATAAAGGTCGAAATCAGGGAAACAAATCGAGAATGGACGCCTTTTTGACACTTCGATTTTGATAAAGAGTTTATCGGGAGCAGAGGTCTCAATTATAATACAACGAAAGCTTTTCGAATGTTTGTTTAACTTTCTGGCAATTCAGAGATTGTGCAAGTAATTTCCAGGAAATTCAAAGTTCAATAGGCTGTATTTATCGAAAGTACAAAACTTATTTTGTACGAAGCTTAGTCTATAGAATTTTGCAAAAATACAGTAAGCCTTATATCAAACACTACCTTTTTTCTTTGAGAAATGATCCTTTGTAAACTAATGAACTGTTATCTAACAATAACAGAAAGATTTGACCCTTTCTTGCATCTAAAAATAGCCATTTTTAAATATTTACATAATAAATCATCAAAATTCAAAAAATCTCGTTTTCAACTTTTGTTACTTCCTAATTGTACCTAAGGCTGCACTTTGGTCTAAATCGTATTTTACGGATTTCTCCTTCTCCAAATCTCCCGTTATTTCTTTACACAAAATGTCAGCACCTCAGCGGTTTTTGTCTTCTTTTTCTCACCTCCCTTCTCTTTGAGTTTCCGCTTTCATTTGACGGATTTACAATTATTTGGCCAACCATTGATATATATCACTCGGGAATAGGTTTCTCACCTTACGATTCAAGGTTGCACTAGGCGAAAGTTAAAGACCGTAGTGATGATTAAAGGTCCAAAATCAAGAAATAGTCACTTTTTGGTCGTTTACTGACTGTTTTCTGCTTCGACTTGAACTTCGGTTTATCACCAATTAGCACTTCCTTGGCCTTTTTTAGGTTTGTTCAGCTTGGACCAAATTTATTTCGACAGAAGATTTTGTGAGCAAAGAATAAATTTTTATTTTGACTGATTTTGCTCTCAATAATTTGATAAAAATATGATTTTATGCTATTACAGGAACATGGAACGTATTTTAAAAATCGCTTTTAATTTTTTACATTCGATCAAAGGTCCAAAAAACTTTTGCCAGCCGTTTTTTTGCCGAAAGTGAAACTTGGAGGGGTCATTTTTTGGGATTAAATTTATGAGTGTCAGAGTTTCGGATGGAATTTCCTTTATTCTAATAAACGATGAGACTCGGGGAGACGTTTTTTTGGGGAACTCGACATCCGTGTGGCAATTTTATTTGACTTTTTGGAGCAAATTGTTTCTTGAATTAAAAAATTTTAAACTTCTTTCGAATTACAGTATCCCCAATCCAATTCTCATCAAAAAAATCTCGAAATATCTCGGAAATCCCTCTTGAATCTCGTTAATCCGGTCAAAAATGCGTTGAGTGGACAGTTGACCACTCCTCTGACCCTCTTCAATTTGACGTCAAGACGTTTTTGGAAGCCAATTTAATTTTACTTTTCCCAAAAACGACGTTTTAGAGATGTTGAGTGTACTACTTTACTAAGCGTTTCCTGAGGGGATATTTACGTCAACGAAGTAATATTGCGACAAGTATAGGTATCTGGGTTAGTGTAATTTTTCATGCGGTCCATTTCTAGATTCAAGGTTCCATTTGGTTCCATTTTTACACCTTTTGCTTCAAAAATCATTTTAAAATCTTTTGTCATCACCGCTCCCGCCTCATAACACTGATCGGCCATTTCGGCATTACCCAATCGCCCCTTTCTCTTTTATGTCTCCAAAAATTCTCCGAACCGGCCCACCCTTTCATTTATTTATTTCCCTGCGCCTTCGAACGCTCTTAATTTGACGCTGATATGCATAATAAATACATTTCGGCATGCCAAAAAAGAGAGCCGTCGAGGTATGTCCGGTGAGTGCGTTAGAACCAAAGGAGGGGTCAGTTTTCAGTGGCTCCGAATCAAAAAAAGGAAATTGGTGACCGAGCTTGACTTTTGAGAGGTTCAAGAGGTAAGTGGGATCTTAAGCGGGATTTGGGATCAAGGCCAGATAAAAATGAGATCTTTTTTTGAAATTTCGTCATCACTGGCGCATGCGACAGTATTTTCGGCAAGTTTAAGTTTAATTGTTTTACAATTTTCCCCCAATTTCATTACCCTCTATTTCCCCCAATAATTGTCCTCTCCATTTAATCCCAATTCCCATTCTCCTCGAAATTTGCATAAAATTGCGCAACAACCCTCTAATTCCCATTTCCTTTTCAATATTCGACTCCCTAACTCCCAATTCGAGCCGAAAACTTGGACTAATTTCAAAACCGAGTCCAATTCTCCAGTGACTCTTCGCTTATAAAAACATTCAAGCAGAAATCTTTATAGCCCATCGTTTCGCGCGGCTTTTTGAATTTCTGACAGTTTGAGAAGGGGGATTATTGAAGGGAAGGAGGGGGTTTGAAGGGTTATTCCACGGGTTAGGATCGGTGAAGGGCGAGGAAAAATTTTTAAAGGGTTGCGCAACGAATTTGAGATTTTTGGAACGGTCTTTTTTTGTATGGGAAGGTTGGCCAGCTTTAATGAGTCATCAAATCTTTATTTTTTACACCACCATAGAAAAAGTCGTCCGTATTTTACAATTTATTGAGTTTTTTTGATTTTTTAACGACACAGGGATGCTATAACTTTGGCGAGTCACCAAAATGTTTCAATTATTTATTATACAGGGTGGGCCACTCAAAACTCCCAACCTCTTTTTAGATATTTCTCCGCCAATAATGCACCAATTTCTATAAAATTTATATCAAATGGAAGCTGAGACACCCCATTTCTTGTCCACCAAATATGGCCCGTCAAACTTCACGGAGGCACCCGCATTGACCTTTTAAATTTTCATTCCAAATTTTGGACCCTAAAATCGGTGAAACTTAGAAAATTTTTGGAATGATTTCCAGTTGAGTTTCTTGGAATTGGAAAATGTTCGCGCCTTTGACTAAATAAAACTCTTATAAGCAACAGAAAAAATGATGGCAGTCAACGGAATAGTCAAAGTTATTCTTCAAGGCGTTGCTAATTTGTCGACTTTTTTCTTGCCGGTAATCCAAAAATTTTCTAAGTTCGAGAAACTCAATTGAAAATCATTCCAAAAAATTTCTAAGTTTCACCGATTTCGGGCTCCAAAATTTCGAATGAAAATTTAAAAGGTCAATGCGGGTGCCTCCGTGAAGTTTGACGGGCCATATTTGGTGGACAAGAAATGGGGTGTCTCAGCTTCAATTTGATATAAATTTTGTAGAAATTGGTGCATTATTGGCGGAGAAATACCTGAAAAGAGGTTGGGAGTTTCGAGTGGCCCACCCTGTATTTTTGAGGGGCATTCAGTTTTCAACCCTTCAAATCCTACCCAAATTATCAGCGTTTCTAAACCCATATTTTTTTCATGCTCAAAAACATCATCATTTTTTGTTAGTTGATTACCAGCCGAACGCTCATAACTCACTGTATCCTCATATCCCCATGGCCATTTTCTCACATCTAGAACCAAGTCATGTATATTTACACACTCCTCTCCTGTCCCCTTGACACACTCTCATTCACTGAATTACATCTTCTTCCCAACATTTTATGCCCCTCTTCATCTCCCGTCTTGATTTTTCTTTCCGTTTCCTGCGGAAGAGTAAAAACAATGTCAAGAGCGGGAGTGGCAGATGTTCAAGCCGGGTGTGGAATCATATGAAGAATGGACATAACTCTTCATATAACTGGGGAAGACTGCCGGGGGACTTTTAGATGGTATCTTTTGCAATTGTCAGGATGTTTGGTGGAAGGAGTTGTGGGTGGATATGGGAGGGGTTTAGGGTATGAAAATAATTTTGGGATAGAGATAAGCTTACGGTAAGATTGGAGTTATCGTGATAAAGACGTTTATTTTTGATATTTTATTTAAAATGTTAGTAGCTCAAATTTACTTAGCTGGGTATATATGTAATATTTTTAGTTCACGTTTTGAAGGAACTGCCAGCTTTTGTTGAAAAAATATAGACTAAAATTTTTCTGCCTTTAAGGTCGATCACTATTTTCAATAGTATCTTTTTTTTAAAGGATCGACGAGTATTTTGAATGTAGCTGTAAGGCACCAACTAATAAACC